TACAGTACCTAGTGCAAGCGAAAACCGACACTAAGGTGACGAACCTTTTCATTCCGCGACTGTACATTGTTAAACTTTTAAAACAGTGCTGTTAAAGCTGTATTTGTTGTAGGACCTACACATTTTTGTTTTTTAATTAATAAAGGTCACAACCTGAATCAAATAAAGGAAATTCGTGTTTGAAGCACTCTCCGCATTTGTGACTTAATTTTGAAAAACAAAGGCTTTCAATTTCCGAGCGTTCGTTCGTATGAAACTTTGCATTATGTTTGGAACACGGTCACCATGTTGATGCATTTATGAGATTTCCAATTTATTTTTAATGCTCTGAACAAAGGAACGGGAAAACTCGTTGGAGCAGATATTTTCATAACACCTCAGTAAATAATCACTGAGACAGCTCCGTGTTGGAAGCTTCGTGATATTTCTAAGCACTTAACTCAGCGTTTTCTATTTCTCTGTCATACCATTTGGAATTCAATTCAAAATTAAATTAAATACAAATTCATAAAACCGGAACAGTTAAATAACATTTATTTTGTAAGCTTTCAAGCATTAAATAGTTTGCCATATGAATTGAGCCGGTTTAACTGAATAGTCGTGTATTTAACGAGCGAGCGCCAATTTTGGAATAGCTATAGTATATTTCAGTGTTAAAACTTTTTAAAATATGATTTATTTTATCTAGGAATAGAAATGGCTGTGACAATTTAATGCTTTTGCTTTGACTCTAGATGCGCCTCACCAAAGAATATGAGTCAAGAGATCTTAAGGAGTGGATCGATTCTGTGAACACACTTAGATTTTATTGGGATATCTATATTTTGTTTTTGCACAAAGCTAAAGAAAATAAAAATGCCTTAGCATAAAATTACTTATAATTTTTCTATGATGAGAAAAATTGGGAAACCTTAATCGGAAAAAAAGGCAGACACGCAAATAGAACTACGGAAACAAATATGAAGAAAACGCTCCGTTCTGAGTCCGTCCTTCAAAGCTTGCGGCGACAAGTTGTGTAAATGACGTTTCTCTTATCATAGGAAATAGTTGGAGAATTGGGATCACTTTTAACTTCTATCCAAAATGGCAAAAACGACATAATCACCTTTAATAGTAACATACACTTTGCTTTTAAAATAACAATTACCTACAAACCGTACAATTATTTAGAAATACGGTATGAGTTACCTTCTTCCGTTACCTATGTTGCTGCAGCTACCGCCTGATTTGAAGACCAGCTGGTCAGCATTCTGCCTAGGTTGGACAAATTTCTTGAGCGGTTCTTCGATATGATATCGATGAAGAGCGTGTAAGTGGTTTTCTCCAAGGTGCTGCTTTAAATTAGATCCTCTAGTCAGCAAAGTCCGTCGCTTTACCGTGATCACCTTTGGGCGTGACTCCTACTGCTCTATTGAGGTTGACGTATTGCTTGCTAGTTTTTCCAGTGCTGTTACGTCAGTTTGGTCCTGCACCTTTTCGACCCATCTTTTTGACACGGCAATTACAGAGCGTGTGCGTGGTTCGCTAGTTTTTCCAATATTGCTGATTCTTGCTGTTTCAGACTGGATTCTCAACTCGTATAGTAGACACACTAATACCTCACAGAGAGATCTGCTGAATACCTTTGGGCGGAGCTCTAACTAGTATATTGAGTGGTCCTACGAGTATTGCCTAGGGTGGCTAGACAAATCAGGAATCGTATGATGCATACCTTGATATTTTTTCTAATGTCGTTGCGTCGGATTAGTAGGCTGCAACTACCTAGGGTCTCTTTGACACGGTAGTTAGGTACAGCGTTTGCGTGGTGTGGTAGTTTTTCCCCAGATTGCTACTAACGCTCTCACGCTTCACGGAGTGATCTGCTGATTACCTTTGGACGTAGCTCTGACTGCTATATTGAGCGGCACCTATGACGACTAAATTGTCGCAGCATTTTGATGCTAGCTTAGTGAAGATCCTGCTTGCGATTGCGCCTCCATCTGCCTCGATGCTGTTTTGATGCGAACTCCATACCTATGCGCAGGCATGACTAGTGACATTATTGACAATCGGATTCTGGCTCACGCTGGCAGCTGTGGGATGAGATGCTCACTTACCTTTTTCGCTTCATCAGGAAACTGACCAGAACTGTCTATAAAATGGTAGTGGTGGTGGTAACTTTGTTTGTGTATCATTATTTCGTCTACACTGTTGTTATTTTATGTTGGTGAGCATTATTTGACTGTGGTTTGTTTTATGTTTGATTGGACAATAAACTATCTGCAAAGTATATTTTTGGCAGTTTTTGGTATTTATAGTCTCTACAGTGGATAGGAAAATAAAATTGTCTAATTCTAAGCAAATTAAATTACTTAGGTCTCATAAATAAATTGGTTTAGGTAGTTTTTAGAAGAAAAAATGATCAAATAAAAGTACTAAAAACGTACTTCGAATGGTAGGTATTCTTAAATTTACTGAGAAATATTATACGGTAACTGTATCTAATAGAATAAATGCTCAAAAAAGTGTAAGTATCATTCAGGCATTCAGTAATTAACGGAATTCTCTTTTACATTTTCTCACTGAAAATAAGATGTTGAAGGCGATCCCGAGCACTTTTTATGTTCGCACCTGACTATCAATGTGTAGACATTTTCCCGATATTCTGGGGAATTGTTGGTGGCGCTTCGAAGGTATCATGTTTTTTCCACATTTTTCCTTTGTTACATGGTGTTACGGTAAAACGCTTAACTTTAAAGTTAAACTGTAATTAAAGCTTTCCAAGCATCGTCTAAATACAAAGGAAGTTTTTAATGAATTACGAGTAAATCCAGCTGGAACGGTATATTTTTAGTATGAAAATGTTTTTCATAGAGAAAGCGGATTCTGCGGTTCTCTGGCTTTGTTCTCGGTGGATTTTTTTAATTATATACCTAAATGATGTTTAACTTGTTGGAAAATGAATTCAATTCGCGTATGTACTTATTGCTTGTTATTATAAAATCATAACCCGCATTATGAATTACGTTGAAATATATTACGGCTTAATATAACTACTTAACTACTTTGTTGGATTTGTAAATCATAATAAATATTAACGGAGGTAATATTATTGTAACTTCAATGTATACGGTTTTCGTGGTATTTTAATACTGATTAAGAGAGATTTATTTCGATATCAATTTCACCGAAACTGAAAATGAACGTTCAGAAATGAAAGCTTTAGTGAAAAGTGGTATTTGCTCTTAATATTTGTATTTCTTGTAATTGGCAGATTTGTGTGAATGTGCTCATTTTAATTCATTAGGTATTCGAAGATGAATTTACTGAAATTAACATTTTTCAGTTAGGTATTCGGTTTTAACGACTTCGATGTCGTTTATTAATACGTAATGTGTAGTTAGTCTAAGTTTAAAAGTTATCCTAGCAGCAATTTCTAGCAAAATCCGGAGTTTCTCAATACTACCGAGGAAATCCCACTTTTCCTGTTATTGAAGATTAGTTGACAAGAATCGCGGGATTCTTATAAATGGTAATGCCAGATTTTGTATGGAAAGTGGCGTCTTTTTTTTTCGCGCGGCCATCGACCAAACTTTGTTTTTAATTACAAAATAGTGTAATAAACCAAACTTACTATGACATGTATACCTCTAAACTCAGTCTGAACTGAGTAAGAGCATTAGAAGTTTGATGATTTTCATACAAGATTTGCTTTTTGTGCGCAAGTTTTGTAAGAAATTGCAACAAAATATTGCGCTATTTTTTATTACGCTGATTCTGCTCCATACTAATGTCTGGAGCCTTTAATGGATGGTATTGTTTGTTTACACATACAATCTCACTAATTTGTTGCAATTTCTTACAAAACTTTGCGCGCAAAAAGCAAATCTAGTATGAAAATTCTGCTCTCTGATGAAAATCATCAAACTTCTAATGCTCGTAACTCAGTTCAGACTGAGTTTAGAGGTATACTGTCATAGTAAGTTTGGTTTATTACACTATTTTGTAATCAAAAAACAAAGTTTGGTCGATGGCCGCGCGAAAAAAAAGACGCCAATTTCCGGCATTTTCCCGGGACTCTGAAGGAGTCAAGTTTTTAATTTTTAAACAAGTGGACTAACTACCACTATCATTTGATGGAGTAGGACAGTTTAATCTGAACACGGAATTTGTTTAAAAATATTTTTTTTTTATGATTTTAGAATTCAGCGACAAAAAATATTTTTAATGTGCATTATGTGTTAAATAAATTCACAGCATAACAACAATGTTATAAATTAGGTTCCCGTGGATAAGTGTATTAATTACTAACAATCGTCCTTTAGCTGAAAATATCATATCGATGACGTGATAAAATGGTTTTATTGCCTCGTAAACCTAATAGCCACCCGTATACATTTATTGTGCGCACCACATTATGGTATCTTCAACGATTGAGGGTTTTTAACCTCTCGTTTTAAACCCAAAAAGCCAACCGTAGCACCAAATATCTCCATTTTCTTTACGTTATTTATGGCTAGTCAAAGGACTCTACGTCAAAAAGATAATACAGACACAAAACCCCAAGGCATCGAGACAATAAGCCTAGCTAGCAGCTCAGCAAAACAAATTCTTACAAAATACTTAGCTTGTCGTAGTTTGTAATTAGAACTTTTATACATTCTCAAACCTGTTGTGAATCAACAATTGGTTTCATAAAAATACAGAATGAAACGTGCCTATACCTACCACTTCAAATGCAGAGAGTAACAGGTGTCCGAGGAAAGCTTGTATTCGTACACTTCCCGTCGATGTAAAAATTACGAAAATAAGGAATATCGTTTAAAATTCAATTAGCAAAAATACAGTACATTAACGCCAGCTTTGACATAATAAATAGTGTTTAAAAAAAATTCGCCATTAATGTCAATGTCGCGGGAAACGCGTTATCAGTGCTGATAACAGCAACAGGCTTGGCTGTGTGTGTTGTGTGTGAGTTGGCAGTCATTCATGAGTTTTTATAAAGTAAAGTTTTGACGTACCGGGAGGGCGCGCGCACACTGCAACTGCAGCGAAGAGCAGCGGCACCAGCGAGTGCATCCCGGAGGCGCGGTGTTCACAGTGAGCACGCAGCGAGCGTGGCGTGTTTACTGGCGAGCGGGCTCCGTGCGCGCTCGCTCGCGCCGATCGATACCCCGCCCACATGAAATTCCACCATTTGAATCATAACAGCCTAACTTCGCAAAGAGTACTCTAAGTTCGATCCCGAAACGCACAGGAGCGCCGTCCTTGCGACCTTTTGCTTCAAGTCCCGACGGCTTTTCGACTACTGGTCGCGCCCTCTAATAACATTTCTGCGCTCATACAAATAAGGTCCCTAGTCGGCACACCTGCAAAGGGTTGAAGATATTTCACACCTGGAACCAATGAGGTACTGGGAGACACATGCCTTCTTGCTTTAAACTCTTCTTATTTCATTTGCGTTCATCCTTCGTAGTCGATTAGAATTAAAGTTCTGTAACGCTTTAGAGTCGGGCACTTGACATTAGCAGATACTTATTAAACCGAATATTTCTAAACAAGAATTATCCGATCGCATTTACTATCAACTACTTCCTAAAAAGTTTTAGGATGAGAACTACCTACTTACTTATGGGAAAACTTTTTTAAAGAGTGGAAAGTTTTTAAAGAGCGAGGTTTTTTCTTAAAAATAAGCAGTTTGAAAGTTTCAAAAAGTATGATGACAGAAAGCAAAAGCATCAATTAATACTTTAACGGCCGAATACTGAAACGCCATTTAAATATTTGACGGCTTCTCAAATAGTTAAGCAGCTCCTAAACTTACATTTCGCATACTCAAAACAATATCTGAGCAGTTCTCAATTTTTAAGCACCTCTCAAATTAAGTTGCACTCAAACGCCACTTAAATGAATTTTCGCATACTGAAACGCCATTCAACGCTAAGCATTACTCAAACAACTGTCAAATCGTCTTAAGCAGCTGTTAAATTTGAGAGTGCTTGCGCGGTATCTTAAATCCTATTCTTATACCTAAATCGACCTAAATAGTGGTAAATAATGTGTGTCATCGTTATCATTTCTTTCGAGCCTCGAGGAAATACCTAGATCTAATCGCAGGAACGCAATAAGGCTGAACGCTATTGAAAAATATTATTATAATGACATGCAATTCCGAGCGAGGTTCCGCGTCTCTAAAGAAACGGTGTTGTTTCTGGATTCATAATTTGGAAGCTCTTTGAAACCCCTCACCAAATGCCATACAACCAGTGGACCAAATACTTATTATAACCCTACTGTTCTACGCAACGGGAAGTTATGAACGTGTACTAGGTGATATCTTCCACATCTAACAGCCAACTGTGCATCGTATAGTGCACGAAGTAACAACCAAAATAGCTGCTATGAAATCGCTTTACATAAACATGCCTATTTCTGAGGATTAAGGGGACATCGCATAGCAGCATTTCCAAGAGTTGTTGATTTGTCAATTTGATGCTCTGTCAGTCAACAATGATAAATGTCAATTGTGGTTACGTTTCGATCCACGATCGCCACTTAATAGATTTCAACAATAAAAAGTATCACCTTTAAAATTATTTTTTTAATTATATAAAAATGCAAGCATTAATTTTTTTATATGATAAAACGACATTTATATAATAGAAACTAAAAATAAACTGTTCTATGTTAAGTTGATTGATTATATTTCCACAAAAGACAATACATAACCAAACGATGCTGCGTGTAATGGATAAAAAACGTAAAGTTATCATTTGTGTAAATGAAAACATACTTTTTTTGGTAAATGTTGCCATTATATAAACATTTGAGAGCTGCTTAGCTGATCACGGCTTCAAATCCGTTGAGTGGCGTTTGAGAATACCATTTAAAATTGAAGGATACTTAAATTTAGGAGCCCGTCAGCTGAGTGACAGATTTGAGTATTGTTTCAGTATTCGGCCGTAAGACTGCTTCATTTCCGCAAAAACAATGAGCACATTGTTCTTTACGGGGATAAAGGATGCTCGATGCCGAGTAGAGGTAAAAAAGCGCACTTTTTATCTACTAAAGCGTTAAAGGGACTTATCTCATCCAGTGGACTTATTGTGTGATGTTAGCCGAGCTTGTTTGTATTTGTAGGGGATTTTTTATTGACGTTCATTTTTGTTCGTTTCGAATTCTCACACGAAACGATTGAAGACTATGGATTTTCTTACTTTCTAATAAGGAGAACTGGATTCTGATAGAAAAAAATGTGAAAGAGCTCCATTTACTTATACACTAGACCGCAAAGAATGGGTCGATTGGAAAATCTTTTTGTCTTCAAAAGTACCCTGATAACCTATCTTTATGAAACATTTGCAAAAGAGCTTTTTAAAAGTCTACTTGCAAAATACTTATGTTAATTTTAATTTGAAACCAAAACATACTTTACATTTACGACTAAGCTGAAAAATAAAAAGCTTGAATTAATTTAGTCTTTACTTTATTTATAGAGCTAGCTCAGGTAGGTACTTGTCAATTTTTTTCTAACCGACCCCTTTTCTATTTTTATTGTAATTTGTGTAGCAATAGAAAATTATTAAACACATTCTGTGAAAAATGTGGAAATTTCCACTGTTTACTTCAACACGATTTATGAATACATTAGACGGAGACTGACGACATAACAATTAGAACTCCAAATATATTTTTTAACTAGCTCTGCCCGCGACTTCGTACGCGTGAAAACAGTTTGAATAATAGCAACATTTTTCTTTCTTCTCTATCCCCTATATCGATATTTATACCTTAAAGCCTTGATAAATGAGCTAACCAACACAAAAAGAGTTTTTGAAATCGGACCACTAGTACCTGATATTAGCGCGTTCAAGTAAACAGTTTCAGCTTTATAATATTAGTATAGATCCCGTTTTACCCCCTTCATCTATCTTACGCGGTTTAGATTTTTTCATACAAATGTTTTTTCTCGCTAACTCCCGTTCCCGTTGGAATTTCGCAATATCCTGTTGTAACTAAGCTTTAAGTTTACTAAGGGACCTGCATGCCAAATTTCAAGCGTCTAACTTAAGCGGTTTAGATTTTTCATACAAAAGGATTTTCCCGCTAATGCCCGTTCCTGTGGGAATTCCTAAGTATCCTATAACCTGCCCAGGAGTATGAAGAATAATTGTACCAAGTTTCGTTAAAATCCGCCGAGTAGTTTTTGTTTCTATAAGGAACATACAGACAGACAGACAGACAGACAAAAATTTTACTGATTGCATTTTTGGCATCAGTATCGATCACTAATCACCCCCTGATAGTTATTTTGAAAATATATTTCATGTACAGATTTATTATAAGTATAGATACATACACAGTATTCTGAATTCAATTCTTAGCGCCCTCTTACTTCAAGTACCTACCTACCTAAGCCCGCATAGGGGAACCTGTTGTACTTCGGCCAGTTTTTCGAATTTTGATTTTTTGAAAAATAATGGTGCTAGTTAAACTGGTCTAGTGAGCTTATATGTAAAGATAATTTAATTAACTACATAATTCATTCATAAAATTGTGTATAATTTTAAAAATTTAGGCATACTAGCTGCTAGAAAAAAAAAGGGAAAACTGTCCTAGGTACAACAAACCAGATGTACCTTGGACCGTGTACGTTGTACCTATTTAAATTGAAATAAATGCTTATATTAGCTTCTATTTGTTTATTTTCTGTTGAATTATTATTTGAAATACCCATAATTACGGTTATTAGCAACAATATCCAAGTCAAAGTATTTTTTTTTAAAGATCCTCCCCCCATCTTTTTGGACTCATTATTTTTCATAATATTTTGGCAACAAATCACGTAATTTCAAGCCGGCTCTCCAGCCCGTGTTTAGCCTTACACAATCAACATAAATATAATAAATTTCAACATTTTTTGTAGGAAATTTTATTGAATGTTGACATGTTATGTCGTGTAGGACAAAACACGCGCTGGAGTGTCTTTAACTTGCAGTCTAGATTTCTTGCTTTCTTATCATTTAACATAAATTCTAGCAAAATATCCACTAAAACCGGTTTAGCAACAAAAATAATCTTAAAAAGTCATATGAAGATACGATAAACATAAATTAAAAAAAAACATCAGAAATTTCATAAAAATATACCAAAAAAAACAGACTTTCAGTTGCTATTTTCAGGTCTTCGCGGCATTGTATCTATAACGATATAATATATTTTTTTAATTACAATAAAATTCTCATTAAAACGTAATCAAAATCAGTGACCAAGGTACATCGCTAGTTGGGTGGTCAAGGTACAACATTGCGACTACTTCACTTAATAAGCTTAATAAACCCACTTCCATTTGAGCTTAGGATCTGAAACTTATATCGTCCAGTAGCTAGATATATAAAGATTATATTCTAACTATAACCGTTTTGTCAAACATGCAACATTTTTAATAAATTGACATGAAGTAAACCTCCAAAAACTCACTGTGTCAGTGTAAAATAATAAACTACCATTTTTTCTTGTACTTGCACGGCGTCGGCGAATCTTAGCTAACTTCACGATAATGTTGACAAATAACGTATCTAATACCCTAGACAACTGTTCATAAAACCGCATAATTTAAAAAATATATACAATTGTTTTAGGTACAACTCTGTCCAAGGTTCAACAGGTTCCCCTACATTTAAGCCCTGCGTTCTCAATTTACCCCACAAACAGTATCCACATTGACGTGTGCACTCGCGGTTGGACGCACATGTCAACGTGTCCCAGCGGAATAAGTATACATTATTTATCACCCACCTTTAGGTTTGACGTTTTCTTCTACGTCTTAGCATTATTGTCTAGCCATTTTCCAAGACACCTATTTTTAGAGACTAGAATATTCCTACATTATTGAGTAGGTACCTACTCTATTTGTTTTGCTTAAGAATTGAAATTCTCAAGAAGACAAATTGGGTAGGTACTTGAATCATCATCATAGCCAAGTGGCTCGTGTTGCTGCGATGCTCGTAACTCGAAGAGGCGTGTTGATATATTATTGCGAATTGAAATGCTTTTTCTTCATAAAATTGCGTATATTCTCAGTTTCAGTTAATTTAAAGCGTTAAGTCGTTAC